AATAAGTATAAATAAACTTTTAATTATATAAGTATACGTAATATATTACTTAAATAAATTAAATAAATAATTTTGATACTTCATCTTTGACAATGTAATTACGATATTTATCTCAATAAATAAAATAAATCTTAAAATTTTTTATCTGATTTAAAATTTAAAATTGAAATTTTTAATTTAAAATTTTATATTTTTATCTAATTGAGCTACGATGTTTTTGAATTTCAAGTATTTGAATAATTAAATAGGTTAAAGTCAAGATTGTGGGTCCCTACCTCAAAGTAGTGGGGTGTGCATTGTCCTGTCCCACCACAGGACGCCAACTACCCGTCAAATGAATCAGCACGGCGACACAACAATTGATTTGAGGACTTATTTTGAATTTTTTCTTTTTTTCTTTTTTTTCAGAATTCGAGATTAGATCCCCCATGAATCCTGTGATTAGGCTTGGTTTGGATATCAAATTGGGTTTAAACATTAATCAGTTTTCCTCTCACTTCTTGTTTTTGTTTTGTTTTGTTTTGCTCTGTCTTTTCAATGAAAAAAAATAAATCTCCACATACGTGGCGTTCATCGGTGTGTCTAGCTCCACTACCAGGGTCAACTGATTCAACCAAAAGTCTAGAAAGTTTAAGATGCAAGGCAGCAAGATTGGGATAGCTCAGATCTTCGCCGCCTTAGCCATCGGCTTTGTGGTATTTGAGCAAGTCTCTCTGCGTCTTGTTTTCTTTGAAATTACTGAAACAATGTCGGCTTTCTTTTCGTTTTCTACCTGAAATCATGATCCTCTCGAAGTTTATTTTAGATTTGGCATTTTTGCATTTGATTTATTGGATTCATTATTATGTTGGCATTAATTATCAGATATTGGCATGGTTGCATTGAGACAACATTCTCCAATATCCACAATGTTGGAAAGATGGTTTAAGGGCTTTCATAATCCTAGTAATATTTGTAATTTCTGACCTAAATGTGGAACTTGATGCAAAAGAAAAGTAATTATGGCTAAGAAATCTTGAGCCATCATCCCAAGTGTATGAAATCTTGCCAATTTTGGGAGGATGGCTTGGATTGCTTAGCCATATCAAGTTTTACATTTAGCCCAGAAATTATGAAGATGAATCCAACCTTCACTGACCAAGATCCAGGGAATGCAGAGGCAGGGATATGCAGCCGTGATTGGTTAGAATCCACGAAATAATGTAAGTACAATTTAAAAAAAAAAATTTATTATTGGTTCCAACAATCCTTATGCAGCTATGCAGTCGTCCTACATGCTTGAGTATACATATTTTTGTTTTTCTTCCCATTAAATTAATTAACCTTTTCACAAATATTATGAGTTTCATTTATTTTATTAAAATTGTGAACTTTAATGTGGAACCAATTTATCAAGGTATAATCTTTTCACCAATTTATCTTCTTAATTTTGATGATCAGCAGGATGATGCATGAATTAAAACCAGGAAAAGCAAGTTATTAATGATCAGGATGATGATTCATAAAGTAAAACTAGAAAATGCAAGTTATTAGGAGCCTAGCTAGAATCTAGAATCATTGCATCAAGATTAGAAGGTATTTTAGAGTGAAACCAAACAAGTGATTGTAATTACTCTCAAATAGACATTTCAGCTATCTTACACATATATCCAAACAGAAAAGAGCATATTTTTGTCCATTCAAAATTGAAGAAAAGTAAAACTATGGAGAGATAAAAGGAACAATAAATCTTCTTTACTATCTTTGCTCATCTTATACTGTGTGGCTAGCGAAAACCAAATTAATGCAGTTTCCCAACAGTACAGTCTTTGTATTTATGAACCCTCTACGCTCTAGCCAGACCATCTTCATTTAATTGCAATTTGCAAGGAAAAAATGCCTTGGTATTGCTTTAAGCAGCAGTATGGCAGAAGTACTTGTAAATGACAAGAATAAGCAAGGAAATGGAAAAGATAGACCAGATAACAAACTTGAAGCCTACTGGGAAGGGAATTGTGGTGGTGTAGCAGAATGTAGCTGCAGCAATGAGAAATGCAACATTTTCCAACACTCTGGATACCTTGGTATGCTCCCTGCTGATAAACTTTGCAAGCAAGAGAAAGGCAAAGGTAATCAAGATTGCAAAAGAAACCAAACTGAAGGAAAGAGGTAGTTTGGACTGAGTTTTTGCAAACTGGAGAGATATTTCTAGAGCAGATGTAAAGCAAAATGAAAGTATGGCATTTTGCCATTGCAGATTCTGCTGACCAACATTGGAAATAAATTGTTGAGATTCCGGGTCAACCATGATAAGGTGTCGTTGTTGTGGGATTAGCTGTCGGGATTCTTGGTTGGGGGAAAAAGGTGGTGATGGCTGCAATACCTCTGCGTAAAGACGAGAAGGTGGTGATGGCTGCAATGACTCTGAGTGAAGAGGAGAAGGTTCTGATGGTTGTGGTGATTCTGGATTGGGAATAGAATGCAGTGGTGGCTGCAATGAGTGAAGAGGAGAAATTGGTTCTGGTAGCTGTGGTGATTCTTTGATGCTAGAACGCGAGGGACAATTTGATGTTTGTGGCATGGGACAGAGATCATGCATCATTGCCATGGCTGTTCTTGTTCCCCTATCAAACCTAGTTAAGTAATGACAGAAGATGAAACTGGGGGATATATTTATACGCACTAAAAGGAAAAAGTGTGAATGTAGGGAGAATTGGGAAAATAGAAAACGAGTGCAAGACTTGACTTTTGCTCCGATTGTGAGATTTATTTATTATATCCTTAATTGTAAAGAAAAATGCCAAGCCTTATCTATCAAAGCTATGGTATAAAGTTGGACTTTTTATTTTATTAGTATCGGAGATCCGATCACTGTGCTAACTATCCTTCTTTTTCCAAGTTTCAACAGGAAAGACCCCGTCCAAAGGAAAAAAAAAAATTAGAGGATGAAAGCAAAAGGTGACAAAACATGAAGAATTTTGTGTCATGGTGGGCCATGATTTTGGACGAGTTGAAGGAGAAGAGGAGGATTTGTTTATTGGATTCCAATATGTTTTCGAAGCGCCGGGGCGTTCCTAATATTTGTGATCGGATTTTCAAATACTAGTATTTTGTGGTGTGATTCTAACATTGAACTATAGAGAGACCTTGAAAGCGATAGCATCAAATTGAAATGAGTCTTCTGACACTCATACATGCAGTAAGAAAAATCTCACTCATCTTCCTTTCTCATCCAACACCAGCTGGACTGGCAAGATTTGAAGTGTTAAATACAAATTGAAAGGGTTTGTGTAACAAAGCAAGATCAGAGTATGAATACAATTTGGAGTCAATCCCGTAAAGAGTTGTGCGCTTGGCTAACCTGTCTTTTCCCCTTTATTCTAGGTCATTTGAGAAGATAGAAACAATAATAATAATAATAATAATAATAATAATAATAATAATAATGTATTTATGCCTGAGAAAATAAAATAAAAAAAGGAGAAATCATTAAGAAAGAAGATGATTGAGGTCTTACTCTATTTGGTTTAAGAAAAATTTCAACTTTTTTTGAGAAAATATTATTCAAATCCAAAGTGGGTACTTTTGCCTATTTTTCCTCACAAAGTATAGACCAACCTTTTATGAGGAAAGCTTTCATAATTGTAAAAAGATCTTTTCTCTTTTTTTTTTTCATCAATTTTCTTTTTTCCCAAAACTTCTACACCCCTTCTATCTCATATGAAAAGTATGTATAATATACCAATAAAAGATTATGTGAGGAGGGTTTTTAAAAAGGCTAATATAAAATGCAATTACACGAAAGTGATTTACAATTTTTCATCTCTCATAAAAAATCAAAACTTAAATAAAAATAATCATCTACCAAAGAGCCAAGCTTTTGCTTTTGTCGAAATAGCATTATTCAAATAAATTCTGTAAAAAATTCTCAAAAGATAAATGGTCAAACAGACTTTCCACCGTTGAATAGGCGGCGGCAATTTCCTAGAAAGTCCCACAGATACCTATCATTCTGAAAAATCTTAAGAGGCACACCGTTTCCCCCCATAGGAAGTCGTCAATAATATTAATACCAGCCTCCGGATCTTCCGATTCTGACTCAAGCATCTCGTTTTCTAAGACATTTGGGAGAAGAGGTGCACCTTCAGCCATCCAGCTGATTCCCTAACCCGCAAAGATTTTGTACTACTTGTTCAAAAAAAAAAAAAAAAAAAACCAGTATCATGAAATTACAGAAACGACCTTCAGAATCTCTCTTATACCCTTCATCGTGCTCTGCCATAGTTTCTGTTGGAGGACTGATCTGATCCACCAACCGTGGGACTAGATTGGGAGCTCTGGCTATGCGGCAGACTTGTTATTTGGAGCTTGCCGCTGTGAATGTTGACCTGTTTTGCCTAGAGGTTAGTCTCTGCTCTTATTTTCCACATGAAATTATTGATTTTTTTTTTTGTTTATTTTTCAATAAATTTGAAATTAAGATCTAAAAATCCTATTGATTATATTCTATCGTTTTTTTTTTTCTTTTTTATTTTAATTCCAAAAGTTATTGATAGGCTGTTCTGTTCTTTAAATTCTATAAAGTGATCATCAAAGACATGAAGACTTAAGAGAAATTAATCAAGTTGCTGTTGAGAAAAAGAAAAATCATTCTCTAGTCGAGGAGGATGAGGGGGGATGTTGTTGACGCCTTGAAAAAATGCGCGGAGGCGCTTCAACATGGGAACTCGAGACTTGCAAACGCAGAGATGGGAAGAGTTCTTGATCTTGCTGAAGAGGAAACCAATCCTAGAACTAGAAGATTGATCAGATATTTTGCACAAGCTCTCGCTTGCCGAGCCTATGGACTTCATCCTAAATACTGGAAGCATAGGATGGGTGAATGTTATGACTTTTTTTATAGCGTAGCTTGGGCTCTTGCAGATGTCATCAAGGGAAAACGCAAAGTACATGTTATTGAACTTGTCAAGGACATGATTATTTATAAGCAATGGCTATCCATTTTTTATATGGTTAACCGCGGTGGCCTGACGCATTTAAGGTTAAGTCTCCTTGTAGAAGAAAACGTTGAATTTTCGAGACAAAGTCATAAGGACCCTCTTGTTGCGATTGCTAAATTTCATGGCATTGAGTTGGAATGTAATATTATTGCTGTTAACAGTTTCGCTGACATTGATGTGTCTTTGCTGGAGATGCGGGATGGCGAATTTGTGGCTGTGAATTGCATGCTTGTATTCAGCAAAATGTTATCGGAGGCATTAGCTCTGAAGAAGCTGTTACTAAGGGTGAGGGATGTCATGAGAGCGGATATTATGATTGTTGCAGAGCATGATGCTAACCTCAATCAGTCTGATTTTTTATTGCGGTTTGATGAATCACTTAAATATTACTCTTCTGAAGTCCAAGAACTAAAGAAATATGAATTTGACATTGAGGCGTATTATAGATATCTAATATGCAACGTGGTGGCATGTGAGGGTAGCAACAGGGTGGAGCGGCGCCAGACGTGGGCTCAATGGAAATCCTTGCTTTTTCGTTATGGATTTTCTATTTTTAATCTTTCTACTGATTTCGATGAAGAACGTCTTTCGATTGAGTGGGAAAGTGGTATCGTGGTGGGCAGAACTGAAACAAAGAAGCGGCCATTATTTTTCATTTCTGCTTGGAAAACATCAACATTCCCCTTCAAATCATCGGGCTCTAATGAAGGTGAGTATCTTCTACCGAGTTAAACTGGCCCCTCAACACTCACCAAAAATATTTACTTATTTTCGATTCCACAAGGTTTATATCATACATCATACACAGCTGTAGGGGCTTTGAACTTGTAACGCAGAACATTTTTTTAGATACTTTGAAAAAAAAAGTTTGTTTTGAGACCAAACATTACATTTGATGTATTTGGAGTCAGTAAAAAGATTTGAGACTTCAATAAATAAAATAATAAATTAATTAATAAACAGCTTTTCACTAAGACCCATGTGAACTGGAACGTAAACTATCTTTGATGTGTCAAATTAAACATTAAAAGAAAAGGAAAAAAAAAATGCTTCGAAGTATTATTGAAAAGAGACCACACCTAACATGGTATCAGTTTCATATGTTGTTAAAGTAATAGAGAAGAGCTCACGATGTAGTGATATTGATGTGTAATTTCTTAAGCAAAAAAAGTAAATTTTTTACAGCGTTTTTTTAATTTAGTGGTTGAGTTGTAATTTCATTAAACCACCTCAATTTCTCCCTAATCAACTCAATTTTCCTGAAGGCCAAAATAAAACTCAATTTACTTATCCTCAAAAAAAAAAAAAAAAAACAACCTCAAGTTTTTAAAAATCTTTGTAAACAAGACTGGCTTAATTGAATAAACTTTTACTTGATAATTTACACAATTTGCTGGAACTATAATATTTATTCATCTTTTATTTTAGACTGATTGTGTTTTTTCTCTTTATTTTTATCTTTAATTGCTCTGCAAAATAGATCCCTGCATCACTTCTTCAGAAAGCAGTCGCCTTCAAACTTTCCAAATTTCCCCAGAGGTATTCTGTTTTCTTCTTATGCCTTATCTTGTTTGTCAAATATACAAGTCGAGAAACATTGGATTCCTCATCTTGGTTCATCTTAATTAATTAATTAATCTCTCCATTCAATTTAGTGGGTTTACTTTTTTTGACAGTAATAAAATAGGGATGTAATAATTAATTAATAAAATTATATATTTATCATTAATTAATTACTACTTAAATAAGTTTTTTTTATTTAGTATATGTTGTATTATCTTTTTAAAAAAGAGTAACGTATGAATAGACACATTAAATGATGTCCTAAATATAAACAACAATATTATAGTTATAATATTATATAGGATTATAATTTATAATCTTACATGGCATTAAATTAATATGATATGATATTAAATAAGTGGATCATACAATATCATATACAATATCATAAGTGAAACTTTAAATGAAAAAACTAATTATATAATGAACATATCATGACATTATAAGTTTAGGATGTCACATGACTAATTTTATAACTTTATCATATTACAAGTCAATGGATGATTAAGGAATAAGTATTACCACCCCTCCGTATATGTTATGTTTGGTTGGTAGTAATCATTATTTTTTAGTTAAATTTTAAAATAAGATAAATTTGAAAGTTTTTTAAGAAAGTTAGGAATAATTAAGTTTTAATGTTGATAAATTTTTACTTAACTAAAGCATGAATGAGAATATGTATTTTTTCTATTTTTTAAGGAATATGTATTTCTTGATTCTTTGCTAATGTGAAAAGAAAATTAGATATTAAAAATTAATTATTCTTAGTATCCTATTGAAGTTTATCAATTTTAATTTGTTTTTATAGTTTGAACAAAAATTTACTACTACTATAACCATGTGATCTAATTGTAAGATTTGTTTTTTACAATTATGAGTTTGTAATTAATTATGTAATATTTAATATCATAATTACATGATCTAATTGTAAAATTATCTATACTTTTAACTATATGTTTAAAATTCAATATCTGATATTGACATACCCAAGAAAAACCTATGTACCATATGATATAAATAGATTTTAGTGGAAATTATATTATTTAAGATTATTATGTTTTGATTTAATTAGTTTCTTTTTAGTTTAAGATTTGATATAGTCTTTAAGAGGACTAATAGGAGCCGTATTTGGTTTTGGAATCTGTGTTATTTTATATTAGAGTTAACCGATTATAATGCATCGATGTTATTGCTATAAATTAAACGCCTAATTGCTTCTTTTTCCTTTCTCATCCTTGATTCTCCATTTCTCTCAGATTTTTTTTTTTTTCCTTTTTCCATTAAAATATAACTACCATATTAACCGGAAATATAAGGTAGCTTAAAGACCATCAAAACACAAAACATGTGACACAGAAACAGAACACTTGAAATAACACCACAAAGGAGAGCTGCTAAGCTTGCAGATGAAGAGGAGAAGCAAGGAAGGAATTACTCCCGTTAACAACAGGTCGCACATCCTCTGGTGGTTTAATGTAGAGCTGGACTTGAGCAGCAGGCCTTCAAAGTCTTGGTGAGGTAGATGAAAGCAAGCATTATGAGCTTGGGTTGAAAGGAAGGCAGTGTGAGGCTGAAGATCCTCTGGCAGTGCTTGGGCATTCAAGATTGCTCCTTTGAATTGGTGACAGAAGGACCTACTAAACAAACAACTCCGTGGACAGAATACTTCCACCAAAGATACAAGGCAAGCCAAACTATTATTCTACCTACCCAAACCAGACCCAAACTCATGCTAGCAGATATCTCTATTGCAAACAAAGTTTATAACAAAAGAATCAAATTAAAGCAAAAGCTTAACTGAAGAAATAATCTAGGATACCTTAGGATTAAAGATTTCATGACCAAGGGCAGCCCCTTCCCAAAATCATAATCTCTGAACAGATTCAACAGAATCATGGAGCCCCTGTGGCCTTAGGGGGGCCAGCAACCCCTTCAGACCTCAGCTTTTTTTCCTCTAAAAAAAAGGGTGCCACTTGCTGCAATGGGCACGTTGAACAACTGAGATTCCTCAATTTGGAAACCGGGACTCACCTTTTGCTTTCTTCCAACAGGCCTCCCTTTCTTTAGTGTTTTCTTTTTCTCACCAGATTTTGTAAACTTTACATTCCCAGGGCTAGGCAAGGGTAGCAGAGAATTCAATCTTAGAAGTTGACTAGGTTTCAACCTCTTTGCTGTGGGACTAGTGGTGCTATTTGATCTGCCTCTCTTGAGTCTTAAGCCATTAAACACCTTGTCCAAGGGGATTTTGCTGGGCAGCCTTCTGGGTATAACATATTCCAACCCTTTTGCAGCTAGTACAGACTCATCACCAGGTATTTCCACAAAGTAAACTTGCCCCCAAACACGGTACAGTTAGGGTTCATTCAAATAGTTCTTGGGCTACTGCCTCCTCCCTTTTTGAATTACCAAACAGAGTCTCATTAACAGGAATGATATCCAGGTTAACAGCATTAAGAGGGTTCTCATTCATTGAATCACCAGCCACCAAACCACTACTGCTACCAAGAAAACATATTCAATATTTAAATGTTCATTGTCCTTAGGTGGAGAAGGGGTAGAGAAAACAAGTCTGAGCTTAGGATTCTTTCTAGATGAGGATAATATCAGTTAGCATATGTGGGTTGGTCTTAGGGGATGCTTGAACAAAAGTGGTAGGGGTATTAAAAGGCTTCTCATTCCAAGGTACCTTCCTTTTATATCTCACTACAAGGGCGCATAATAGGCTTAGATTACATGAAGTGCTTTTGTAAATATTGTTAACTCTACCTGGGGTCCTGTTAGTCTCTCTCACCCATGTAGTTCTCAGCCTTTTACTATACATAGGTTGGTTTGAATCCTTCAAAGACATGACCATGTCTTCTCCACACACAGAATCAAAGTGCCCTAACCTACCACAGTTATAGCAGAAGTTTGAGAGCTTCTCATACTTTAGTTCGTCCCACTTATCCTCATGATTCTGAGAATGGAACCAGAATCCAACAAAAAGGGGCTTAAGAACTTCAATTTGAACTCTACATCTTCAGAAATCCCTAAATTAAAACATTGTTAACTATTGGGTTCTCAGCTTTGATTAAAATCCCCAGACTACTGCCTATAGTAACAGCATTACTGTAGGTCAATTCATCAACATTCAGACCGTGAACTTGTATTCAATAGGAGGCTAGTGAGAAGTCAATTTCAGCCAAAGACATAACCAGATCCCATCGTTAAACATTGAACAAAAACCCTCCAACAGACCATGGAGCATTTTCCAGAACATGCATCAGGTCAGATGCAGAATGAAAAGAGATAGCATAAAGGTTTTCTTCAACTTCATTTACCTGGAAATCCTTACGATCCGCCCAAGCTTTTGTAAGCACACCATAAACTCTATTCCGACGGACCGGACTCTCGGCAATCACCCCTCCCGGCAGCAGTAAAGGACCTCCGTTCCTCAGAATGGGCATACGTTTCCAGATCAGTTATGAAAACACGATTCGCCATGCCCACTGTAGATGCAAATTCTACAATTGAGAGAAAACAACAAATATTTGCTAGATAATCTGGGTTTTAAGATTTGAGATTGAAAAGGAAAGAGAACAACGATATTTTTGTGTTTTTGAAAGAGGAATCACAAAAAGCTTGCAGAAATTGAAAGGATGATTTGGGGTTTTTTTTGGGATTTTAGGGAACAAAAAGATAGGGATATAGACTGGAAGGAGAAAGGATAGATAGAAGGAGGAGAGATGGCAACATGATTACCCTCCTGGAGGTGGCCACACGGGAGGGGTTTCTCATCCTTCAGCAGAGACAGCGTCTTTTTCTGCACTGCCCAATCCATTTCTCTATTGGTTCTGTTGCCCATATTTGTTCTACATTGGCTTTAGCAGTTTAGCGCACTAGGCTAAATGCAATACCCTGATTCAGAACGAAAACTTATGGTACATTCGAAGTTTCAAATAGTAGAAATAATGAAAACTACATTTTCATAAGCCTTCCTAGAAATTGAAGTTTGATTGATGAGATGGAGAGTAGAACCCTTCTCAACGAAGTCTAGAACAGCTTATTAAAATTAAATGATGATTTAATATTTTATGATTAATAAGTCCTTGAGAACTCTTGTAGGCTGGATGAGACAACTTCAGAGAAATCAATGATTAAAAAAAAATGTAGCTAATAAAAGAACAAAATATGGTGCATTGCATAAATGTTGTTTCCATTAGTGTTTACTACATTAAGATTTTTTTTGACCACCTACTATATTGAGATTTAAAGTATGAATAAATAAGAGAAAGAATTAAATGATTTTATGAATTTATTTACCTAAAAAAATTATTATGAATTCTATTCTTTACCCCCATAAAAAATAATTCAACTGAAATAACTAATTAATTGTTTGCAATCATTAGCTTTGCATATGTTTAAATTTTAAGCATTGGCAGGATGTCTACTTGATTCGTATGGCTTCTTTAGTTGAAATACACGACGTATTACAGAATATAAGTAGACAGTATGAGGTGGAAAATATTCTGACGTGGGCAAACCGTGTCTGTCCGGCACATCATGAAAGGGGCCCTCCACTTTCACTTAAACCTATTTTATGCCTTGAGAATGCTGCTTGCGTCGGTGAATTTTATATGGCGTTTGAAGGAATGCTATTCGAACAGCAGTATGAAGAAGGACAAGGCAGTGTGGGCAAAGCACTTAAATATAATCAACCTTTCTACGTGCCTGACATTTCTGAGTCGAGAGAAAATGTTTGCCCATATATTTCTATTGACAGTTGGAGAAAGGATCATTTTCTTGGTGCTCTTGCAATTAAGCTTAGCAGTACTGCTTGCAGCAGCTGTGGAAATTATGTAGTCGAGTTTTTGTTTAGACGTTGTAAGCTGACACCTGAGACACAAAAGCGGTTGGTACACCGAATCATACATAGATCACTTGAAAGATGCATTGAAAGATGCAACGACACATTTTGTCACCTATGGTAATCAGGGCCCTCTATTTGATCTAGCTGAGGATGACATTGCAGTTTCAAATACCACGCTCGTGAGAAGCAATCCTCCATATCAATCAACTAGTGATTTCAATTTAAATCTGACTAACCAGACAGTTGGAAATGTTATGGATGGGCAATTGCCTATGCAACAGGTGTCCATTTTGCTATAAATCATGTTGAACGTATTTCCTGTGCACTTTCTTTGGTATTTTTATGTAATTGTGAAAAGACTAAGACTGCAATATCCATCAGTTTTCTTTTGTTGATCAGCTACATTACACTGGAGTTTTAGATGCTATGCCCACACAAGGCAATCTACTAGCTCAATCAACTGATGTTGTGGTTAACCCAAGAGATGGGAATGTTTTGCAATGGCCTCATGAACAGGTACTGTTTATTATAAGTTATTGTATTGAAAATGCTCATAAACTAAAGCAGTGCATCGTCTTAGTATTGCTGTGGAATTGTAAATGCCTCTTACACTATTAATTGCAACATTCAGGGTCCTATTCAGCTACATGTAAGTGCAACTTCAGATATCGAGGCCTCGAGAGAGAATATAGTGGCTCCACCAATTGGTGATTTCAATTTAAATGGAAGAATATCCTCTAGTGGGAATAATCAAATAGCTGAATATCATGTTACAGATATACAAGTGCCTCATAAACAGGTACCTTTTGCTATATATTAATTATATTCAAACCTTAATGCCTCATAGACTCACATAGGTGCATTGCCTTATTTTTATTGGAATCATTCTGAAATTGTGATGAAAGGTGTCATGGTTCCTTGTATATATTCTTTTTCCTCTCTTATTTTTATAAACAATTGTGATTAAGAGTTTTTAAATATATGTGTATATTCTATCGGTTTATTAATCAAATTCAAGATTTGTTATTTAATTTTTTGACTTTGAATTCAATTACACCTTATTCATTGATAGGGAAACAAAAGACAAAGGATATTGAGATCTGATGTTTGGAATCATTATGAAAAGGTAGAAGTTGTAGAATGGGGAATTATTGGCCAAGTGTAAATATTGTGACTTTGAGACAGATGGTTCCAGCAAAAAAGGGACATCACACCTAAGAAAACACTTTGAAAATCGTCATAGAAAAATAAAAAATGTACATCAATCATCAAATCTTCCATCTAAAAATTTAGAACCTCAAAGTGCTTTCAAAGAAAAATATGTGTTGGATGAAGACAAGATTCACTTGGAGATGGCAAGGATAATTATTAAGTACAAGCTTCCATTAAGCATAATTCATGATGAACATCACAAGAAACTTTTCAAAATGTTGCAGCCGAAGTTTGAGTTTCAATCTGAAAAAGATCTTGAACCTCACATACTTCATGTCTACAATGAAGAGAAGCATAAACTTTGTAGATGTTTTGATGAGCTTTCTTGTCGCTTTAATCTGACAATTAATTTGTGAAAGGATGATTTTAAAGGGATGGTAAATTGTTGTTTGACAGCGCACTTTATTGATGATAGTTGGGAATTGAAGAAGAAGGTTCTTGCTTTTAAAAGATTTGAGAATGATTTTGGTGCAGTATCATGGTCTAAAGTTAATGAGACGATGCTTTCAAATTGGAATATCAATAAGGAACCACGTTCCCTAACAATTCACAATTCCTTCTCAAATGATGAGATAGTTCACCATGAGGAAAATTTGCCTTCTAGTATTTTCTACCTTAGTTATGATAAGTGCATTAGTGACATAAATTATATGGCTACAGATATATCTTTGAAAAGCATTTATCAAGTGTACAAGGAGATGAATCATCTACAAAATAAGGTTTATACGTTGATGAGTGTGGAATGCAGTAACAATTGGAGAATCTGCAACTTAATTTTGGCTGTTGTTACTATTCTTCACCCAAACTTGAAGCTTAAATTTGTGCAGTTTGTGTATGAGGAAATTTATGGGGTTGTTGTTGCAAAGCAACACTTGAATGAGATTTTTGATTTTCTTACAAGTGTTTATGACGAATATGCATATGATCAGACTAATAAAAGAGAAGTCGCTACGGCTATTGATGATACAAGTAGTTCAGCACATCTCAATGCTAATGATAGAGTGTTGAACTCCTTTAAGAAGTATTTAGCATCCAAACCAAATCGGTTAGAATTTTATCAATATCTGGAAGATGAGGAATGCTACTTGATGGAAATTGACATATTAAAATGGTGGCAGAACAACAGCTTTAAATTTCCAACGATGGGGAAGATGGCTTGTGACTTTTTAGCCATACCTTTGTCAACCATTCTGTCAAATTCTGCATTTACCACAGAGGTTAAAAAAATTGTTTCCAACAATAGTGATCAAGATTTGAAGATCATAAATGCAATCATATGCTCCCAAGACTGGTTAGCATTAGTAAAAGCATGTAAGTCCTGCCTTTTTGATATGATAGTTAATATAAAAATGGTCAAAATTTTAGTAGTTGTTATGTTCTTAATTACAGCAATTAATTGGCTCATTTGATTGATTTGATGAATGTATCTTCTTTCTAATTAAGATGAAATATGATATAAATATATCTTATTTATATAATAGCATATGCTATAGTAATACAATGAACATCCTGATGATACATGTATATGTCACAATAAAAGACCAGAAATTTGAATATATATTACTACTTGTGTTTCATATTAAAATGTTCATTTGAAGAGTTCATTCTTGGTTTGTAGCAGCAAGCAATGAGAAGAGTGATGAGAAGTTAACAAGGGAGTGGAGAGTATGGTTAGAAAAGGTTTTATCCATCACTTTCCAATTTACTCTAGTATACAAAGCTTCGTTCAATTTTATTGATATTTTTAAGAAAAACTTACAAATGGCATACATTGACAAATCATCATGTGATTATTTTCATATTTGTATCAATTTGTTGCAGGATGTTCGGGAGCACTTGGTTTGGGATTTTGCAAAAGAGGATTCACAACTTTTGGAGAATTGGGAGAGTCATAAAAGCACAAGGTATGTATGTGTATTAACATCAAAATAAACTACAATATGACTTTACAATTTGAAGCCTTATTGAGGAATTCAGCTTTTGTTTGTACAGACAATTGAAGATCAAAGAATCAGTCTTAACTCCTCTTGTCCTCCCTCTAGATGATGCCACTATCCAAGCAAATCCACAATGGTATTATATTGGGGATGAGGTAAAAGGCTGTTCAGAATAACCTTGCTTTTATTTTCTCAAGTTTGCTTCAAAATTACATATATGCCCGATTCAGTTTATCTACATTAATTTAACATTTTTTTCACTGAAAGGCCATGAAAATATACTTTGACTTACTAAAGAGAAGATCGGAAGAACATCCAAACGTGTTCTTGAAGCACAATTATGTGGATCCTTTAATGGTGGTAAATATTATTCACTTTTAAGTCTCAATTAATACAATAATTAACTTATAAAGATATCAATTTATAATATATCGAAAAAACCACCTAAAAATATGGTGTATTAATTCATATTGATTTTTTTATTTAAAAAAAAAAAAAACAGGATGTCTTGCTTAATAGAAACGAGTCTATTGTACCAAGTGGGATTGAGAAACAAACCAATATATGCAAGGTATTATAATTATCTGAGTTTTCTAGCTAGCTCTTTATTTGTATTGCCCTATAAACTTATTAATAAATATAACTACATATATATATATATATATGATTTGCTAATATTGTTGTCATTGCAGTTATTTTCACTATTGTGTTTGTCAAAACATTGGACTCTTTTCTATGTCGACATCAAGTATCACAAATTTGTATGGTTGAATTCATTTAGAGGTACTACAGAAGCAACCAATATTATTTTAAAACAAATTAGGAGTTGGTTTGGAAATACTTTATTGCCTACCATGGGCCTGAATAGTGCTATGAATTGGCCTCTCGAGGTTCCAACAGACATTCCGAAGCAACAAAAGTGAGTCACCTTACTAATTAATTAATCTCTATTACATGCCACTGGTTGGTTTTTATTCCATGGATTAGTATTGTTATGATCTTATGTAGTAATTGTAGTATTAATTTTTGTTTAATTTTGACACGGCAGTGTGATTGATTGTGGCATTTTTGTAATGAAATATGCGGATTGCCTTACCCATGCCAATTGCATTTGTTTCCCCTTTTCTCAAAAGGACATGCCTCACTTTCGGAAACGTATGTTTCTTGATTTGCATAATGGAAAAATACATGTTCCTGAAAGGTTTGTAAAAGTTTATGTTGTTTTTGTATGTTTCCCTTTTTTTTAATTAATGATCATTTTATTTTTCTCTTCTAATGCTTGTAATGATCTTTTTCCTTTGTTTTGATACCAACCTGCAGAGCGGAGCAGATGGGATGATTTTCTAATCAATGATCATTTTTTTTTCTCTTCTAATGTTTGTAATGGTCTTTTTCCTTTGTTTTGATACTAAACTACAGAACAAAGCAGATGTGATGATTTTCTAATTAATGATCATTTTTTTTGCTTTTCTAATGCTTGTAATGGTCTTTTCCCTTTGTTTTGATACCATCCTGCATAGCAAAGCAGATGGGATGATTGCCCTGCCCATCAAAGTGGTGTATATACAAATAGCCTTTTGTTCATATGGTTATATATGTTGTTAAATGTCTATTTCATGCACTGACGCAGACAAAGAATGGTTATTGGAAGGATTATTAATTAGCAAGCCCTGCATAAAATTTCCTTTTTCTTCACTTCTGAGCACATATTTTTTTTTCCTTTAACAAAGAGAAAAGTTGAAATTCATTTTAATATTTTTTTTTAGCCAACAACACAACGTTAGATCTATCAAATCAATTGTTTACCAAGGAGTTTGGATTGATACCAGAATGGAGGGTGATGATGGGAGTATTGAGCACAACCAGCCTACTTGTTCAAGCATAACGGACTCATCAAATCGCTCTGGTTCAATTTTGCATGGAAGTTCATCAAGCTCAAGGTGCATTGAGGAGGGAAAGCATTCAAGAGTCAAGGAAAGTTGTGTTGACAGCAGATCAAAAATTACCTTCAAAGCTACTTACAAAGAGGACACCATCCGATTTAAGTTTGAGCCTTCAGCTGGATGCTCCAAACTATATGAGGAAGTTGCAAAAAGGTTCAAATTGCAATACGGGTCATTCCAGCTCAAATACCTAGATGATGAAGAGGAATGGGTAATGTTGGTCAATGACTCTGATATGCAGGAGTGTATGGAAGTTTTGGATGGTATGGGCACAAACAGCGAGAAGTTTCTTGTCCGTGACTTACCTTTCTCAATGGGCAGCTCTGGGAGTAGCAATTGCTTTTTGGCAGGAAGCTCGTAGCAGATCCACTGATGCTCAACACTTGGGAAACTTGTGAGTCTAGCTTCTGTACGCCGTGTTGAGTGTTCTATCATACTGGACGAGATGCAACTCTATGAAAAGGATGAAAGACATAGAAAATGAGCGTATCTTCTCACAAGACATTGTGATCATTTTCTGTTCCTTGCGGTACCAATAATGGGATCGAACACCCCTGTCAAGGTCTCTCGGGGTTGAAACAACTGCCATTGTTGTTACACGATGATAGAATTCCAGGAAGGTGAGAATAATGGGAAGTGGAGTCCCTTCATGTACAGGCAGCAATTGAAATAGAAAATAGTGGCAGTAGCCAGTAGTAGTAAATCCAAGCCTGTATAGTTTAACTAGTGTATTTTTCCTTTTTTTTTTCCTTTTTTTCCTTGCCAGTCAGATATCTTATGTATTATTAATTAGAGAAAAAATGAGCCTTTTTTTTTTTAACAAATGTAGAAATTTCATTATATTAAGGTGCATTTCATCTAATGTTAACAAATGTTAAAAATTAAGTGACAGATAATGAACCAAATACAGCAGACATGATTAATTGACTTGTGCTTTGCTACCCAGTCTGCTACCCTATCAGTGAACCTCAAGGTTATCCACAAGTTGCTAAACAAATTTAATCATAAGGTCTAAGTGCATCTGCAGGGCCTGGGGCATAATTCCAAGCAGTAGAACCATTTGTGGGTCAAATTGTACTTTTAGTAAAAGTAGAGAAGCTTGTGCGGATATTAATACTAAAAGAGTACAAAATTAGAATTAAAAAATATATTTTGTACGGAAATCCTATGAGAGACTAAACGACGTCGTGGCAGTTAAAGCCAATTGCCAAACAATGTGCGCGTAATTTTATCGGGCCGCTAATTTTATCGGGCCGCATGAGACCACAACCTGGAGGCCGGCCCGCGGCCCGCCCACAGCGTTGACGGTCTAGATTCCCCTAGAATTTAAAAAAAAAGGGGGAAGTTTCGGCGAATTATTATTTTATTGAAAAAGTGTTTTTGATCTATATTTTCATTTTTCCGTTGGTAGTGTAATGTTGATCCTCTGCAGTCCTCATGGGATCGAAATTGAATCCCCAGCCATTAGGTTCGTCAAATTCCAATGTTTCAAGCTTCAGGATATGAGTTCTTGGTGTCTGTTATTTCTTTCTTTAATTTCGAGTTAGTTTTCGTTTCGCTTTCGTTAATTGTGGGGTTCTGGAAGAAAAAGGCATTGTTTGTTTGGTGAGAAAATGAGAGATACTAAAATAAAACGAATGTTGTTTTTGATTTGATATGATATAGATTAGATTTTCTCCTCGTGCTTTCGAAATTGGTATTTAGATTGTTCAATTATGGCTATTCCTTTCTCTTTTTTCCCCGGATGTTGAATTATATGATTGAAAATTGCAGCTAATAATCCGCCACCAAAACCTTGGGAGCAAGGTGGTGCTGCTTCTGGCTCTTCACCTTTTAAACCTTCATCAGCTGGCAGCACGAGTGAGATAGTTGAAGCTTCAGGAACAGCAAGACCTGGAGAAATTGTTTCTACTTCGAACAGAAATACTACTGTTAATAGAAATCCTGTTGGTAGGCCTCTTCCTACGAGACCCCGGGAGAAAACCAATGGGAGTATGGGTAACAATTATGGAGGTAAGCTTCTCTCCTTATGGGCAATCAGTCAAGAAGTTTTCATTTTTATACTGGTTTAAAATGGGTATCTAGAATTTTATTTTACTCTCAGTTTCCCTTTTAAAGCAGGTTATGGGTCTACTCCGAGCTATAATTCTGGGTATGGTTCTGGAATGTATGGTTCGTATGGTGGGCTTGGAGAATTGTATGGTGGCGGGATGGATGGTAACAGCATGTATAGGGGAGGGTATGGTGGGCTCTATGGTTCCGGGATGTATGGTGGTGGATTGTATAATGGTGGTTTTGGAGGTACAATGGGTGGTTTTGGCATGGGAATGGGCGGTCCTTATGGATTTCAAGACCCGAATGATCCATACGGTGCACCTCCTCCTCCGCCAGGATTTTGGATATCTGTCCTTAGAGTGGTGAGTCATTTAAATTTCTTTGACTATTTTGTTTATTGTATTTGTATTTATTTTGTTCAAGGTAATTGGTTTTGAAGTCACTGTTTCACAGTACTGGGATCTTTGAATCCCTTGAAATGAAAAAATTAGAAAGGAAAGTTGGCGATGATTAATGATTTTGAGTGGATGAGTTCGTATGTAGTCAAGATTTTAGAATGCCTGTCTTTTCAATTGTTTGTGGAGGATTCTTTACATCTCATGGTTCTTTCATCCAATGGCAGTTGCAAGGTGTAGTCAACTTTTTTGGGAGGATATCAATTCTAATTGACCAGAATACACAGGCCTTCCATATGTTTATGACTGCACTTCTTCAGGTTTTGTGCTGATCTTTTCATCTTGCATTTGTCTCTCTTTCCCTCTTCCTCACTTGAATGGTTGTCTTTTTGCATCTCTTTTTTATTTATGAGTGATAACTGAGTCAGATTCCATTGTTCCTTTTCTGTTCCCATACGTATCTTATATCATTAGGCATTTATGTTTTATATATTTTTTTACTCACCAGTCCAAAAGAACTTCAGTTTCTTGAAGTGTCTTGACACTGTGAATTTTGGCACAGTGATAGCTCCTTTATCCTAATTATAACTTTCTGGCTGTGGTTGTCTCCAAGTCATAGATCTTTTCATTTAAAATAAGCAATCCAACCAAGTCTGATAATATCATAATAGAGAAGTAGAAAGCATTTGCCAGTAGGTTCTCCTTTAAATATTGTAGCTGGTGCAGTTTTTGCTTCTCCCACTTAACTTTCAGTTTACCCAATCAAGTTGGGATAAATACTTGACAAAGTAAAATAATCTTTTTCTGTTTCGCAACTCCAGAATACAAATGCAAATTTGCAGCAAAATGTCTCTGTTTCATGGCATTTAGTTTTTTGTTAGCAGCTTTTTGATCGCACTGGTTTATTGTATGGAGAGCTAGCAAGATTTGTACTGAGGTTGCTTGGAATCAGAACAAAGCCCAGAAGAGTACCCCCACCAGGTCCAAATGGACATCCTCTGCCTGGACCCAGTGGCACCACCAATGCAACAAATCACATCGAGGGACCAAAGGGTGCTCCAAGTGGTTCTTGGGACAACGTCTGGGAATATGATGCTGCTAAATCACGCTGCTTTTCCCATTTTTCCTGCTTTGTTAGAACCTCCAAGGGTCCTGATACACTCTAATCTCTCCCCCATGTACTGCTTAATGCAATTCTATATTCGTTGAACCGTGTCACGTCCTGGATTCAATCATGGCTTTTGCTTAATAGCATATCTTTTATATCATACAGCTGGTACGTTAATTGTTGTTTATATATTCGAAATTTGTTAGTGACGAGATAGAACCAGAAGGTTACCCAATAATTATAAATACCATCTGAATGATGCTCTTTTAATGAACAATATAACGGTTAAAAATGAGCATCATTTGTAGCAACAGAAGTGATGTAATTTTAATTGATTGCACAACTTAGAGGGAATAACATTAAAATTTGGTTAAATGTTAAATTTGGTCTCTCAATTTTAGTGAGTTGCACATTTTTGGTCCCTCAATAATTTTTTGCACTTTTTTGATTTTTCAACTTTAAGGAATGCACACCGTTAGTTCTTCTGTCAATTTAGACCGTTAACTCCGTCATGTGGCATTTTTTTTTTATGACATAGCGAAAACAACTTTAAAAAGTCTAGAATTTTTTTTGATGACTTGTCAATGCCAACTCATAAACTAAATTTGATTAGGATTTATATTTTTAATAAAAAAATAAAAAAATTCAATCCATTTTCTTCCTTTCTTTTTTTTTCTTCTTTCTTCCTCTTCTTTCTTCCTCTTCTTCCTCTGTTGCTGGGTCCCTTGAACCCAGATGGCTGGGTTCCGTCGAACCCAGCGACTGGGTTAGGTGGAACCCAATTTACTGGGTTTAGTAGAACCCATCTGCTAGGTTTAGTGGAACCCATCTGCTGGGTTCCATCGAACCCAAATCTGCTGGGTTCCTCGAACCCAGATCTACTAGGTTCAGTGCAACCCAACTCCACTTTTTTTTTTTTGTTATATGTTTGTTTGAAGAGATTTTTGTGTAAATTGCAGGTTGTGAGGGATTTTTGAGATCCTTTTCTTCATATTTCTTAAGTATCATTTAAATGATTTCAATGTTCAAAATGGAAAGAACATCATCGGCAATGGAAAGAACAGAAGCAGTGACTAATGGGTAAAGAAGCAATTCTTAGTGGGTTTCCATTTGTTTGGCTAGAAGGGTGTTTGGATGCTGAGAAAATGCTTTCTGTTTGAACATGGCAAAACGTTTTGTCCATATCATCACTTTTTTAAATTTTGCTCTCCACATCATCAAAAAAAATATAAAAAATGCTACATGTGCGAAGTTAACGGCTCAAATTAACAGAAGGACTAACGGTGTGCATTTGTTAGAGTCAAGGGATCAAAAAAGTGCAAAAATTTGTTGAGGGATCAAAAATGTGTATTTCTTAAAGTTGAGGGCCCAAATTTAGCATTTAACCTTAAAATTTCTAATTAACATAAAATCATGAAAACAATACGCTCAAAACTCAAAAGGGATGCATAAAGCTTTTAGAAACATCTGCATGCAAAATCACTGATTTTCCACCACATATCATCAAGAAATTGGTAATATCTGTACCTCCAACGCCTGTTAATCACCAAAGGACTCAAAAAACTCCAGAATACGACGATGAATCCAAGTGCCATGCTCACAAAGAACCAATTTATTTCCGCTCCATGATCTTCACCTCTTCCACCACTGTTTCGACTGTCAGGTTTTGAACCAACTTCACTGCAGTTATACATTAGTGGAGGGCCACAAAGTTTGTTGCCCCCATAGCTAGATGCATTGAAGCTCTGCAACTGGGTGCTTGAAGGAATTCTCCCGCTCAATTGGTTATTGGACAAGTTTAGGCAACCCAAAAACGTCAAATTCGCCATGCTTTGAGGAATTGAACCAGACAATTCATTTACTGAGAGATCAAGTGATTCTAACATTCTCATGCTGCCAATGTCTCCAGGGATCCTTCCGCTGAAAAAATTGTGGGACAAATTCAGGGATTGCAAATCATTTAAAATGGTTATTTCTGAAGGGATCTCTCCTGATAAATTGTTGCTTGAAAAATCCATTACTTTGACCAAGTAAAGGGTTTTGCTATAGTCAAGGACCTGACCTTTCTTCACAACAAATACATCCTCCAGAAAATAGGTTCTCTGATCAGCAAATGTTTTAAGCAGGAAATTGATGCCCCCCACGTAATTAACAACAAAATAGCTCTCAAAGTTGTACCTGGAAGAATGGTAATCCATAACCATGGCACTTAAGTTACCAATGCACCTTGGAATGCTTCCAGAAAGATTGTTGTGAGCAAAATCCAGGATTTGGAGAGAACTAAGTGCACATAATTCCTTTGAAATGTGTCCCCAAAACTTGTTTGAACGAAGACTCATGATTATCAGCTTTGTAAGGCTAATTCCAATCCATGGAGGAATGTTCCCATCTAATTTATTTTCACTGAGATCAAGAATCTGTAACTTGGTGCAATTTCTTAAAGAAATTGGTATTCCTCCAGAAAGGGAATTTTTGTGAAGATGCAGCGAGGAGAGGTTTTTTAAAGTTCCAATTGAACTTGGAATTCCACCAGAAAATGCATTGTTATCTAATATTATGATGGTCAAAGATGGCCACTTGGTCCAACATTCTGGCAACTCTCCAGATAAATTATTTTTGCCAAGTTGGAGAATCTTCATTGCCATTGTTTCCTTCCTCTTATGACACAAAAAGTGGGTAATGGGACCGGACAAACCATTATTGGAAAGGTCTAGCAAAGACACATTGGAGGAGATTAGAGGTAATGGACCACTAAAGTTATTTGAGCTGAAATCAATAGTGGGAAGGGAATCCCTATCAACACTATTTAATATCTTTTGAAGCTGTCCTTGGAACTGGTTGTGAGAAAGATTTAAATAAATAAATTGAGATGAAAATTCCCAAAACCAATTAGGAATGGTATCTGAAATTTTTGAGTTAGAAATATCTAAATATCTTAAATGTTTTTGAGAATGAATCCAATTGGGAAATGTTCTCAAAAGCCAACTTCCTAACCGTAAAGTCTGAAGTTGAAAAGGAGGGACCCAATCAGGATGGACTTTCAAAATAATCAAGTTACCAAACCCAATGAAGGATTTTAATTTTGTGAGGTTACCAAAGTGAATCTCACAAATAGTGCCTTCTAAACGATTATTTGAAATATCAATCTGTTCCAAATTGGCAAGCTTACCAAATGACTTGGGTAGATTTCCTTTCAATTTATTACTCCCCAGAAATAACTTTCTCAAATTCTTAAATTTTGTAAGTTGATCAGTTAGTTGGCCAGAGAGTTGACAATTACTTAAATCCAATGACTGTAATGCATTTGAAACACACCCGGAAAACACTTCTAAGACATCAGATATCTCTTGACTCAAGTTGACACCAGAGAATGAAATTGACCTTAAGCTGCAAAGATTTCCCATTGACATTGGGATTTTGCCTTTAAGATCACTATTTTCCGAGAAGTCCAAGTTAACAACAAAGTTCATGTCTCCAATGGCATTCGACATTTGACCCTCTAAGTTATTAAACCTTAGATTTAAAACTTTAAGAGGGCTAAAAGTATAGAACCAGTCAGGTATTGAAGAGTTAAAAGAATTGAATGACAAATCAATGTGCCTCAAAAAAGTTAAATTTTGAAGACTAGAAGGAATTGGACCTTCAAAACTGTTATATGACAAATCAAGTTGCTTAAGAAAAGTCATATTTTGAAGACCAAAAGGAAATGCACCATTAAAACTGTTATATGACAGATCAAGAAAAGCTAAATTCTTAAGACCAAAAACCCACTTTATTGTTGATAAGTTTACAAAGTTATTCCAAGAAAGATCAAGGAAAGAAAGAGATGATAAATTTACACTTGGAAAGGCATTAACTTGTACCGGGGGGAGATGAGATCTAGCCAAGTGTAATTCTATCAAGGAAGGAAGGGTGTTTACCAAATGAAACCAATTGGAGGCCATGCTAAGGTTATTGGAACTCAAATCAAGTTGTTCTAATGAGGAAAGACCAGATAGCCAATGGAGATTCTCAACATACAAATGATTATTAGAAAGATTGAGATGCAACAAATTAGAGAGATTCCTAAGATGTTGAGGAACCTCCCCTACAAATCCTGCACTGCTTAAGTCAAGGCGTCTTAAACTCCTTAAAGAACCAAAGAACTTGGGAATTTGAATTCCTCTAAAATCATTGTGGCTGAGGTTCAAATAACTCAAATGCTTCAAATGGAGCAAAGAATGACTTATCTTACCCTAAGTTGTGATGTCACATTAATCTCTTGATAAGCATCACCAAGATCATATAAGTCCTCAGTATAAGTGGGAGCACTGAGGTGGAGTTGGAGGACATGGCTGGTCAAATTATGGCAGACAATTCCTTTCCATCTGCAACAATCTCCATTATCAGCAGACCAAGAGGCAAGACGGTGTGCAGGATCTACCAAACTCTGCTTCAACTTCAAGAGTGCTTGCCTCTCTCTCTCTATGCAAAGTCCATTGCAGAAGCTGGTAAGACTAAAAAATCCAAAAAAGAGAATTGTAAGAATATTCATTGAGATATCTTTCTGTTATTAATTGACTAATGTACTTGTAAATCAGTGATGGGGCCGTATGCTATTTATATTTGTACTTGCCCAGCAATATACGGCAAGTTCCATAAGGTTGGCAAGGGTTTTCACATGAATGGCAAAGTTAATTAGGTAAATCTATGTGTTTAGAAAAAGAATATATGTCATTCCACCTAACATCCAACTTAATGTATCAATTACAGTCCTTCTCACTTAACACTGTAACGAAGGAGGGAAATGGCAACTTCATAAAAGCCGCACGCGCACTCTCTCTCTCTCTTATAGTCTCTTATACCAACTTTCAATGAAGTTTCCTAGTTTGCAAAAGTTAAAACACTTATGTAATTGGACTGAGAAGTCTTCCAACAATGTTGGTCGTCAGTTTTAAATTTTAATGAACCTTATTTGAAGTTTGAACTAAAAAAAAAGGCCGCCCTGTTTCTTTGCGGATATTTTTCAAGTTTCCATCATTGCAGAAGTAGAAAGCAGTAACATTTCACACCAGAACAATCCTCTGCAAAAGTTTCGGCGAAATTTTAATTTCTTTGCAAAAAGTTTCAATGAACTTTCCTGTGCAAAAGTTGCCCAATAACAATATTCCTTTCGTTGCAACAGCACTATGAGATTGAAATATTAAAGCACTATATTTCACACGGTCACACCACCTTCGGAAATTTTTGGATCACTAAGAAGTGAGAACTTGACAAATAAAGCTTCGCTTCTGAACATAATTAGCAAATGGTTCTTTAATACATTTCATTTTGCAACATATATAATCCAGGATTAACAGGCACAGATATAATTCATCATAGCAAGTATAGGCCTGGACACCTGGAAAAGGTTAATTTTGACTAAGCCTATATATGTTTCGAAAATTGTAATTAAAATTAAGTTTGTGATGATTTTTTTTTTTTTTTAACAAGAGAGAATTTTGGGGGAAGGAGAAAATACTATCTCTATAGGAACTTAAATTTTGGCAAAGGCCAAGAATTTTGCTGCACATTGTAAGTTCACCTGGAGCTGATTATTGCGTGAAAGGGTTCATATGTAGTTAGGTTTTTCTGCAGTGGGCCAAGAATTTTGCCATGAACCAAAAATTTTGCTGCACATTGCAAGTTCACTTGGTGCTGCTAGTGCAGTTTGCGATGATTATTGAGTGAGACAGTTCATATGTAGTCAGGTTTTTCGGCAGTGGTTCTCTTTTTAATTGATTCTGTTACAATCGTACAGTTCTTCCGTTCAATGGTAGTTGCCCTTGCCCAGCTGCGGTCAACATTTCTGGGAGGATATCAATTCTGACTGACCAGAACACGCGTGCCTTCCATATGTTCACGATCGCTCTTCTTCATTTGTTGCGCACTTGTGCCGATTCCAATGTGCCTCTTCTATTGCATCCACCACTTACATATGTACATAGAGTTAAAATCTATTTATATAAAATTCCTGTACATATAATTTATATAAAATTTCGTCAATTTGTCCATTTACTCTAAATCATTAGATCTATCGTAATGTGTTAGATAAAAAAAAGATAATTATATTTAAAAAGTAAGATAAAAACTAAATAAAATTACTATTTATAGTAGAGAGATCAATTATTAATATTTTGTATAAATAATATATGTGATGCATTCAAGAAAATTGATATCCTTACTAACCTAGGACTTAAACCTTATAAGTGACTTATAAAACAACATTTGTTTACTAAGAGATTCAATTGTCCCTTGGGACTCCACCATTAGGCATTATGTTTTATGTTTTTGCTCCCTAAAATTCAAAACTATGTCACTCAACTTGAGTATTACGTGTCAAGAACTATATCTGCAGTTTCTTGTTAGTGGCGAACATTACGGATTGATTTTAGTACATTTGAAACATCTGTGCATATCTCTCATGATCTCTTTGTTATTCTTTAGCTGGTAGTTTAGCCTCTTATTAATCTGTCCTGGTGTGTGTATATGATGTACTGATTCTTTTCAAAGGAAAATATCCCATTCATAAACTTATGAGTGGTGATAATGATAATCTTTTTATACAACTATTTTATATAACTATTACATATTATTAAACGACTTAATATACTTAATATTATGGGTTCTAAATAAATAAAGAGAATTTATCATTTAAATAACACATAAAACTGTATAAAAAAGTGATAAAAAATTTTATTTTTGAATCATTTTTCTAAATGTATCTTGATATCCAGCTAATATCCTCATCAATGCATTGGGCAAAAACCACTTCTTACATCTTCGTGTTAAGCTGGACACCATGCCCCAGCTTGGCGGGGAGTAAACGCGATAATTACGGTTCTCTTTGTTATTCGTTAGCCTGTAGTTAGCTGCTTATTGCTCTGTACCATTGTATATATGATGTAATGATTTGTATTGAAAGATAAAGACTAGTATCTCGTTCATAAACTTATCACTTTGTCTTCTCCCTCTTGGACTCAAGTAACTGAACCCGTATCTGATACAATTCTATATCTGCTGAGCTTAGTATTCAAGTACATGATTTTAATAACATGTCTTTAATATCGAGCAATTGGCGTGCTAATTATTTTATTTATTTTTTGTAATAAATAATAACTAAGTTATCATATATTTCTTTAAAAAATTTTTAAGTACATTGAAGAGTTCTCTATGTCATAGCTTGATTTTAATCAGATATTTTTAAAAGTTCTAAAGCTTCTGTTAAGATTAATTTCCTATATGGTTTAAAGTTTTCAATGAGAAAATGGGAAATTAATTGAGCAAATAAATGAAATAAATGTTTGATTGGACTTAATTGTAAGAAACTAAAATATGAAGTTGTGAATGAATGGCAGGGCTGAATAATGTTATCGGAAGCCAATGGATTATACTGTAAAAAGCATAAAACATCAAGGGCTCAGAAGAAGAGTTTGTAAAACGACATGGCGTAACTTTGGGCTAAACTAAAATTAATAAGCCAGGGTTGAACTGAACCCTAGCCTTCAAAACCCACGGTCCCTCTGCTTTTCTTTGCTTTGCGGTCAGCTAATGTCCCAAAAATCACAAAATTTTCTTGTTTTATCCCTAAATTTACTCGGATTTGGATAAATCACGGCAATAGTGTGAAGAGATTTTTGGATTTGAAGTCATACAACTAGTGAAACTGATACAGATAAAATAAAAGATCGGCTGAGAAAATAAAGAAAGCTTGATTAGCTTCTGATAAATTCCTCTAGAGAAAACACAAGGGAAATCTAGTAGAGAATGAAGAAAGATCTCTGATATATTTCTTAAATAACTGTATGAAAATTTAAGGATTACAGAATAATTCCAGAGAGAATTACAAGGAGAGAAAGCTAGAGGTTAAAGCAGACAGTATTCTCGACAATTTGGAAAATGAAACACAAAGCTGCTAAATAACCTAACCCCTTAGAAACGACCTCAGACATAACATAAAACGGCAAGGCATAATTAATCCTACTTGACAGCCATATCATCATCTTGGTCCCACATGCGTTATTTACTACGTATCATTCCCTTCCGGTTCAGAGCATCCTTGCCCTCAAGGATGAAATCCAAGAAACTTCAACCGTAGATCATGCAAAAAGCTCTCTAGTTGTACCCCTTGATTATGCACTAGATCATTGAATTAATCATCTTTCCATGCCAAATGACTGGGCTCCAGTAAACAAGTAAAAGCAAGCCCCATTGGTGTAGCTACATATGAAGGAGTATGGAAACTTAACTTTATCTTCGCTTGGGAAACCGGCAACAACAAATAAAGGACCAGCTTGTAGGCCTCCTTCATAACTGTTCTAAAGTAGGATCTCATTTGCAAAATCTTGGAGTTCTATGAGGCATTTTTGAGACTTTCAACATCCAACATCAAGGCACGACTGTCCAAGAGTAATACTAGAATAACAGTGTTGAAAGGCTTGCCTTCAAGCCACCATAGAAACACTTGGCACATGTAAAAACAATTGAGACTTGAGAGTGTGCTTCTATGAACCACATCTAGCTTCAAAGATTCAACATAAGTCTCATTAGGAAATTAAGTGAGAAATTGCTGCTGCAAATCAGGAGTACCCATGTTGTATTCCTATAATGAGACGCATTGTTGCTCCTGTTGGAATTATTGTTAGAAATGTGGCATTCAAATCTGCAGAAATGATGAAATGAAACTGCCATGAAATGGCAGCAATGAGGCTGAAAATTGACAGCAAATGAAGCTGCAATCTTCAGTAAATATGGCAGCAATTTAGCTGCAAATATGAGGGAAATGAAGCTGTCAAATGACAGCAAAACTATGCAGCAAGCTAAGCTGCAAATGTTGATGAAATGAGGCTGCCATGAATAGTAAATTAAATACAAATGCAAATGAAAGGTTGCAAAGAGGCTGTAGTGCTGCCAAGAGGCAGCAGAGCTGCACAGAGGCTACAAAGGACGCAAGCATGCAGCAGCAAAAGTGACTGTTATTTTCAAATTTAAAGTGTACTTTTATTGTTTTTAAATGTAGAATAGTTGCTTAGATTAGAATTTTGAATTGAGTTTGTATTCTCCTATAAATAGGAGAGATTGTAATGAAAAAAATTTAAGTTGAAGTCATAGACTTCTCTCCATTTTATGTGTTCTGCTCTTCATCTTCTTTTCCCGATTCTCTCCATTCATTTCTTTGTGAAAAAAAAAACCAACATGGTATCAGAGATGTTCATGATCTTTGAGGGCCTGTGTGAGAGTGATTTGAGAGAAATCTACCACCATAAATTTCGGCCAAACCCAAATAGTTTCCAGCAAGTTTTTTCTTTCAAAATACCCCTTTTTTCTGATCCAACACAGCAAACTCCTCTGACCAAAAATGCAGCAAAGATGCTATGATAATGAAGGTTAACTTTAGGTCCTTCAATCTTTGAAAGTGGTTGACAGAAGAATGCAACCAATTTGTTAAGGTAGAAGAGAGTATGTGAAGCTGTGAAGTTGAAGGTTAACTTGACGTCCTTCAATCTTCTTGAGGCAGAAGATTTGCAAGAAACAAGAGCAAAAGATGCTGGTTTGATGATGTTTTATGTTGCTGGTATGGGTAGTGTTTTATGCTACAGCATTAGTCCACAAAGATGTTGTGATAATGAAGGTTAACTTTAGGTCCTTCAATCTTTGAAAGTGGTTGACAGAAGGATGCAACCAATTTGTTAAGGCAGAAAAGAGTATGTGAAGCTGTGAAGTTGAAGGTTAACTTGACGTCCTTCAATCTTCTTGAGGCAGAAGATTTGCAAGAAAAAAGAGCAAAAGTGCTGGTTTGATGATGTTTTATGTTGCTGGTATGGGTAGTGTTTTATGCTACAACATTAGTCCAAAAAGGGAAGGATGGCTTGTGAAGATGCAGATTGGAACCAAGAGAGTACTCAACATTGCATCAAGTCATTTTCATGACCTAGTAGCCAAATTCTTAGCCCAGGGAAGCTGTAGAAGATGAAAAAGGATGATGAAGCAGCACTTTGAGGTACCAAAATCCTTGTTTTTTATTTACTCAGAAAATGCAACTTAGTTGCAAACCTCCAAAATTTGTTTGAGGCAGCAAAATCCAAAGAAGGAAAGCTGTAATGAAGGAGGAGTTGAGGTTGTTTGAGAAGGATGGTACATGACTGTGAGAAAAAAAAATGGTGAAAACCGAGCACAAGATGGACAGCAAAAGGTTGATCCCAGGTGCTTAGGCAAAAATATACTTCTGTTTTTTATTTTTGCAGCTTTGATGCCAAGGCGGAGTGTTGGAACTATTGCTAGAAACGTGGCATTCAAATATGCAAAAATGATGAAATGAAACTGCCATGAAATGGCAGCAATGAGGCTGAAAATTGACAACAAATGAAGCTGCAATCTTCAGCAAATATGGCAGCAATTTAGCTGCAAATATGAGGGAAATGAAGCTGTCAAATGACAGCAAAAATGTGCAGCAAGCTAAGCTACAAATGTTGATGAAATGAGGCTACCATGAATAGCAAATTAAATACAGATGCAAATGCAAATGAAAGGTTGCAAAGAGGCTGTAGTGCTGCTAAGAGGCAACAGAGCTACAAAGAGGCTGCAAAGGACGCAAGCATACAGCTGCAAAGGACGCAAGCATATAGCAGCAAAAGTGACTGTTATTTTCAAATTTAAAGTGTGCTTTTATTGTTTTTAAATGTAGAATAGTTGCTTAGATTAGAATTTTGAATTGAGTTTGTATTCTCCTATAAATAGGAGAGATTGTAATGAAAAAATTAGAGTTGAAGTCATAGACTCCTCTCCATTTTCTTTGATAAAAAATCCCAACAGTTCCAAGTATGAAATTTCATGTATTGAAGCAACAAAATGTCAAGGTCCTTCCAAGTGGCATTTGCCAATAGATTGCTAACCATTGGAACACATTTTAATTCTGATATCCTACCTCTATCCGCCATTTTTCTATGCAAAACAACTGCAGTCAATGGTGAAGAAATGGCAGGAAGCTTAGTGAGAGTAAGGAAACACAGCTTCTACTTGCCTGAGATTTGAGTTTGCCCAAAACTTCTACTGAATTTCTACAGAAAGGGAATAATTTCAAGATTGACAACTTCCTCTTGATCCCAACACATAACTCCAACAGATATAATAGGCATAACCCAAGACAAATCTTCCACATACCCGTGCAATAACATACTAGAACTGTCCCCAGGTAAGAGCTGAATATCATTGTGGAAAAGCTTATCTTCTAGCCACCACATAAATACACTCTAGTAAGAACAATTCAGAAAGATGCAATTAACTTCACGCATTTGCAAAGAATATCCACCGTACAAAATCTCATTAAGGAAGCCCCAAGAAGCATATGACAACCTAAAATTTTTGTCCCAGTAATGGAAGTAATCGAAGCTACCGAGGTCCTCGACTAATCCAATTAAAGGTTCTGTTGCGCACATGGCATCCTTAAGTGGTAGCTGACACTGTACAAACTCTTGCAAGCTACCATTCCCCACATAATTACCACTTAGACCTCGACTTCCAATTAGTGCCTTAGATTTAGCGAGTGAGCCCTCATCACAATTGACAATCATTTTTATACCAATAAGTAGTAGACAAATTGACAGGCTTGAAATAGATAAACTAGGATTTGAAGTATTCTGCAACTCCTCGATTCCATCTATAGCACCACCAAAATTCATCCCCTTTTTCCCATTAAGTTTTGCGTCCAAAATAATAAGGACAGCATCGCCATTGCCACTCTTCATTTTTATGTCTTCATTTTCATTAATAATACCCAGCAAGAAGACAAAAGACTCAGCAAACCCACAATCCTCATCAATATATAACCCCTTGAATTCATTTGGTATTGTCCCACCAAAAAACTCTATTATAAACAAATTTGCAATCACATCATTTAATCTCAGCTCACTAAAGGCAAGGGTCGTATCACATAAATTCATTAGTTTTTTTTGGTATTAATCTTTTGATATCCGGTAATCAAATTGGGTCCCGATTAATCCAGAATTGAGCCGCGTCGGACCTCATTAGGGAGAAGCTTTCCCAGCACTTGTTTCTCCATTCACAAGATTTGAACTCAAGACCTTATTTAAGGGGAATCAAGCTCCTTCTACTTGGACTAACAAGCCATTGGTATAAATTCATTAATTTTTCATATGCACCAAATAGAGTTCGGAGCTTCATATGCAAGGCTATATTAGTATCCCTTTGAAGACCACTAATAGATAAAGGTGTTTTGTGAATTATACCTGAGTTGAGAAACAACAAAGCTAATGATTCTTGAAATTGATCTGCCATTCCTTTTTTTCCCACGGTAACCAAAGCAGCATAAAGAATATCTACTAGTAATAAGGGTGTTTTGTGGATTTGGATGCTGACTTGAAAGCCTATTAGGATTAGTATGTGTCTTTAGCATGAGTTGCCGTTATATTCATCTCTTATTGTCGTTTTAGGGTAGGTTACTAGTAATTAGAGGCTGTGCTGTTCATTTGGGAGTTGTTAAAAAATTGTTCTGCTTCATCATCAACTATCCTCTATCCTCTATAATCTCCTATTTGAGAAAATATTTTTAATCCTTGGGTTTCAGAGTAATATATCAGAAATCTTTCTTTCATTTTCTACTAGATTTCCCTTGTATTTTCTCTAGAGAAATTTATCAAGAGCCAATCTGGGCTTTCCTTATTTTTCTCACCTAGCTTTCATTTTATCTGCATCTTTTGGTATCAGAGCACATCCTTCCTCGAACATGGCAGAGATTCAAGTTCAGGAGAGTGTAGAGCCTTGGGCACATTTGGTGGCCTTGGTAGATCTGGCGGCATTGAAGCAAACGGGTACAGTAAGCCGATTTAAGGAGCAATTTGATCTTATCTTTCACCAAACAAAACTCACTAAAAAACAAGTTGTCTGTTTCTTTGTTGATGGATTAAAGGAAGAAATCCAGCCATCTCTGTGAAGTTGTTCAAACCCCAATCCTTGTATGATCCATATTGCTTCGCTTTCCTACAAGAATCTTGTGTGGAAGACGTTCAAGGAATAGCTAACACCCCAAAACCCTTACCTGAGCAAGAAGAAATTCCGCGAGCCATTGATGCAATAGCGAAAGTAGTGGAAGCAGAGCAAGAGAAAACCACCCCTGGAGAGCGAGATAAATTGGCAGCCATGGAACTTGACTAGAATCCACCACTAGTGACTCCTATTTTTGAAGATGATTTCCCGATGTCTGTGCGGTGGCCAAAGATGAACCCACAAACAATTCCGCTGGAATGGTTCAAAATCAGCCGCCCACCTTAGAAATCATGCATGCAACAGAAGAAGAGAGTACATTGTTATCTCAAGGAGACGAGGTCGCGGAGATTGAAGAGACTATCAAGGAACTCTACTCTTCTGCCCGTAAGCTATTTAGTGAAATGCCCGAGTTGTTTGGACTCAAAGCCACACCAATTTCTAGATCACTTACTGTCGGATTTCATAAATTCAAGGGTGTTGGTGGTGATTTTGGTGAATTATGGTATGGATATACGCAACCTCTGGTGATTAAAGATTCTGTGGCTATTGACGATTAGGAACCCGCGGTAGAATCCATGGTGTTTGTCGAGATTGAGGACATCCCAGAAAGGTTGGAGGTACAGTTGGCTACTTATTTAGCTAAAAGGGCGGTGCAGGAAACATACAATATCCTACAAGCTCCATTTCAATACTAGTCAGTAGAAAAGGATGGATTTGTGAAGGGCAATCTGGTATCTAGAGTTGTTTTAAGTCTTGTTACCAAATCCTGGTAAAATAGCTAATCATGCCTTTGGTTTTTATTTGTCTGGCTCTGGCTCTAGAAAGTATGATGAAATAGTTCTGATTCAGTTCCATCCTCTGTTTGATGCATGTAACATGACTTTGTGCAAGATGGATTTCTATGATTTGAATGTTTGTCTGCTAATGGCTGAATGTGGTTTGAATATAAACATGGTTATGGGAATGTTTATGCTACAAGGAGTAGAGGGTGATTATACCATAGTTAAGTTGCCAGGATCTTTAGTCAATGGAGTCCCCATTGATAAACCTTGTTCCATTGCAATGAAAGCGTGTAAAAAGGAGGGACAATTCTTCTATAATGATGTCTAGTTTTTGAAGAAGAAATCAATTCATACTATGATTGATTTTGGTAATGGTGACAACTTTCTAGACATGATTATATTTAAGAAATTGAAGGGTTTAGGTGGGTTTGACAATGACGAGGAGGTGAAGCAAGGATTCCAGTGGCAATACAAAGAATTTATGCAATATGATCTGCTTTGAGATGCAAGGATTAGTGTAAGGCATGGTTTGGAGCACTTACAAGAGATCATTCAATACAGGTTGTTTTGCTATATGCACTTGTCATCAATTTTGGCTTCAATGCTAATGGTTTTGTGAATTACATTAAAATATGACAGAGCTTCTTTTCGTGGCTGTATGGAAAACCTTTCCACATGTATGCCTTAATTTGGTCATTGGCACAGGACATGATTTTGGAATTTCATGGTTAAAATCTTTTGAAAATTTTTTATGGAACTTTAAAATGTTGGTTACGTTGCTTATTCTTGTGGAGCAGAAATATGTACTTAGGTGGCTGGTATTAACAAGAATAGGTGAAGAATTGATGGAGGAGAAGCTAAATTATGAAATTAATTTCTATTTTGGATTTGATTCTCGTGGCCTGGGTTCATTCTATAATTCTGGTAGTAGCCATCTAAAAGCACCATTTAAGGAAGTTGTTGTTTTCATCCTTGGTGGGGGTAATTATGCTGGGTATGGTAGCTTGCAAGAGCTTGTACTTGTACAGAGTCAGTATAATCTTGTACACTCAATTGGGCATGTTTACTATAAAGATTTTGCTCATTTGTTGTATCTAAATTTGCTCAATGGCTATAGCACC